TGTTCTACTATTTCTTTCTATTCCGAGCTTCCACATACCTTGTTCTATTTCTTTCTATTCCAAGCTTCCACATACCTTGTTCTACTATTTCTTCCTGTTCCAAGCCTCCACATACCTTGTTCTACTATTTCTTCCTGTTCCAAGCCTCCACATACCTTGTTCTACTATTTCTTCCTGTTCCAAGCCTCCACATACCTTGTTCTACTATTTCTTCCTATTCCAAGCCTCCACATACCTTGTTCTACTATTTCTTTCTATTTCAAGCATCCACATACCTTGTTCTACTATTTCTTTCTATCCCAAGCCCCCACATACCTTCTTCTACTATTTCTTTTTATTCCAAGCCTCCATATACCTTGTTCAACTATTTCTTCCTATTCCAAGCTTCCACATACTTTGTTCTATTTCTTTCTATTCCAAGCTTCCACAAAGGCCTCTCGCAAAGGTTTTCGACCTCTACTTGATGCGAGGCACCAAAAGGTGTAAAGCGCAACAGGGCGTTCAACCGAAGCTAAAGAATCTGGGGCAGACGCCACGGCTGAAAGAATCCGTGGGCGAGGGGTTGACTTTGTAACGCGCTTCGAGCCTTTGGGGATGAAGCATATTTTCAAATAAACTTTATTATTAGTATCCCTTCGGCTTTCTCTATCTCCGCGGCTGTCTCTATCACCGCGTCTGTCTCTATCACCACGTCTGTCTCTATCACCGCGTCTGTCTCTATCACCACGGCTGTCTCTATCACCACGGCTGTCTCTATCACCACGGCGATACTTCCCAGGGCTCTGGTCGACATGTCACTAGTGGCATGCTGACTGAAGAGGTGCTCTGGTCGACATGTCACTAGTGGCATGCTGACTGAAGAGGTGCAACCCCCCCCCCGGTCTCTGGTCGCCATGTCTCTAGTGGCATGCTGACTGAAGAGGTGCAGCCACACCACCACGCACCCTAGCGTTACACGGGGAACATAACCACCATTGCGTGGGCGGACCAAGGGAATACATTATACATGGTATCTGCCGGGATTGTAGCAACTACAGTGCGAACTGTAGCCATTGCCTGTTTTGGTCATATCTACGGTTGAAATAACGCTGCTAGAAACAGGGCAGTATCGTGATTGCTATGTTGTCGATGACGGACTTGGGGTGGGTAATGGCAGCCTGTTTAATTTTGAATTCATAGCGCTTGACCAGGGGCCCTTTGTCGGGAGTCTTAATGTTTCGGGCTTTTTTTTGTCCGGGCTGTTTCGATGGGGCCCTTGTGTCGGGGACCTATTTGACAGGGCTGATTTGTCGAGGCCTTTTTGTCCTGGACTGAATAGACGGTGCATCCCACGAACGCTATGTGAATGTGGCCATTTTCCAGGAAACGTAGCTCCGAGTGAAGCTGAAGCCGTTCCATGTAACATGTTAATCGCTATACAAATGAAAATGCGGTCGGTGTCGAGGCCTTGTTACAGCACTGCTGCTAATTCCATGCTCGCTTCGGTTGATGTCGAATCCGGCGACATCGATGTCGTCAAAGAAAATTTTATTTCTTGAGTTTGCTAGGAAGGTAATCACAAGAACTCAAGTTACATTAAAGTGTATACACCATTGGCATAGTTCTTGAGTTTGCTAGGAAGGTAATCACAAGAACTCAAGTTACATTAAAGTGTATACACCATTGGCATAGTTGTTGAGTTTGCTAGGAAGGTAATCACAAGAACTCAGTTACCCTAAAGTGTATACACCATTGGCATAGTTGTTGAGTTTGCTAGGAAGGTAATCACAAGAACTCAAGTTACCCTGAAGTTTAGACATCTTTGGCAGAGTTCTTGAGTTTGCTAGGAAGGTAATCCCAAGAGTCTCGGTACCCTGAATTTTAGACATTAAAACAGAAGTTTTAATGAACTTCTAAAACTAAGAGCGGAGTCGCGTAAAAAAGACCACTGAAAAGAAGAAGCTGCCTGCTGCTAGCGCGGCGTACAACAAATTAACGGTCCAGATCCGGGAAGCAGTCTTGGGTGGGTGGGGGTGGGGGCAAAGATGGCCGAATGGGTTAGATAGGCCTACTTGTAGTAAACTCAACCTATCGGACGTGCGAAAAGTTTTGCGTTTGCTTGACAATTTATCGAAGAACTCAAAATCCCCTAAAAATAAAAACGATGGAAGGCGCGCACGGGCGTTATGTGAAACAATCATTTTTGCCGAGCAAAAAAAAAAAAAAAAAAAAAAGAAAAAAAAACAGAAAA